CACAGAATCGTACGTCATTAGTGGTGAAGGAGTCGAGAATGCCGAGCGATCCTGGTAAGAACATCACATTTTTTGATGGAGGTACATATTCGAGATTCATCCCTTACTATGGCCCCTGAATTCACCAGCATTAACTGTTTTGACATTCTGTGGGGCTGGCTCGCTCTCTTTCCGTACTATTGAGAGCTTGATCGTTTCCATGTTAACCAGTTCTTCCCCATTGAACAGCTCAGCTCCTCGACGGAAGAGTCCCCTAATGCCAAAAATTGGACAACTCTTGATCGCTGTTCGTCTTAGAGGGGGAGGAGAGCGGGGCATATATCTTTGCTGCATAGTTTCCTTTGCCAGTTCATGCTAACCAAAAGGTGTTAGGCAGCGTTCAGACTTCGCGACGGCAGCGCTTCGGTCGCGCGTTCGACGCGATCGATGCGCATGCTTTCGACTGCATTGATCGCGTCGAACGCGCGATCGAAGCGCTGCCGTCGCGAAGTCTGAACGCTGCCTTACTTTGGTGAGACATGTAAACACTCGTGAAGCTGGCTGCGAAATGGTACAAGTGAGTACTTTAGTTACAGAAATTCGCAGGTCTTCACAAGGTAGCCTGTCCAAGCTTTGCTGAGTAACACCTGCTGCCCCCACTAAACTGAACTGCGCCCACCGGTTCCTGTCAAAGAGGTTCGGGTGCCCTGCAGTGCAGAAGTTCTCTGTCAGGCGAAATGAACAGTATATTTCCTAGCCAACTGATTCGACATAGTGCAGCCTTTCCATGTTAAACCACTTGGTATGTGGTGCGAATACCGCGCACGCGACAACGCATCCATCGCCGCGCTGGCCGCAATGCAGAACTCCCGCGTTATACCCAGAAGGTTTCCAGCTGCATGAGCAACTCTTTAAAGGGATAAGGGATAAATTTGGCCTCCGTCGTTTCTATACAAATTTTCTGGACGCGGCCCATTTCGGCTCGGTGGGGGCACTGAATGCTCTCACCGAGCCGAACTGCGCCGCGCTGAACAGCTAAGCTTTTCCACACCACCTTGTGAAAACCTGTGGAATTCCTGTTAATTAAGTGGCTCACCATATCATATCGCAGATTTACAAGAGTTTACAGGTCCGCCCCCCCCCACCCAAAAAAAGGATCTGTCGTCTCACATGAACTGTTGAAAGGAATCAGCAATCGAATTAGCAGGAAAGGTGCAAAACTCCCCTCCAAGCCGGACAGCGCCTTTTTCTGCGCGTGAACCATGAGATGCAAGCAGACGTCCCTACTGGAGGGGGGGGGATGTGTTTTGCAATTTGCAATAAACATTTTCCTTTCAGAACTCAACTACGTCGATGATCAGAAAAATATCACGCAGTATTGCAAAACACACAGTATGTTTATTTTTCTTGATTATTTATTTTTGAAGACACATTCCGCACTGATCCTATGGGAAGGAGAGGGGAATCACCCCTCAAGATTGCCCCTCCTTCGTAATATGGTGTTGTCAGAGGGAAGAATACAGCATTAAGGAACGTATAACGATTGCCTGTCTCCGCCCAGCAATTGGTGCGGAATGTGCCTTCAATGAGTATTTGTTAGTACACAACGCCATCCATTTCATCCCATACGTGGGCAAACAAGGTGAAAGGATGCCCCCGTTTCTGAGAAAGGTCATTAGGTCCATAAAGTTTGATTCTCATAGCTTCTACTCAATGATGCATTCCTGACCTGAAAATACTTCATAAGGCTGAGCAGCTGCACCTCCTTAAAAATGCATAGGAACTTTTTGTGAGTCTAGCGCGTCACCGAGCCCTACGCTTGTGAATAAATAAATTGGCAAATCGATAATTTGCAGTTCTTGGGGAATTCAGCGCTGCTCCTTACACTTTTTTGTAGGCAATTTTATAATTCTCGGACCTAAAGTGAGGAAACCAAGACCACTGCGGTTCAGGTGAGGCTCTGAGTTGCTTCGACACAATAAAACCAAAGCCTCGTTCTTTGCGAACGCTGGGGCGTGTTAGATTGGCTGGGTTTGGCGCGGCGCCAGCCACTTTCCCACCAATTAGAGGCGCACGCCAGCTTCCTCAGTTGGTGGAGAGCGAAGGGGCTAGCTCGCCAAAGCCTGTCTCCCACCACGTGCCCCATCGTCCGCAGCGAACAAGAGTGTTGATCGAAGCGCATCGAATTTCCTATCCACCTGACTTGACCTACTGTAGCACACCCCCCCCTAACCTACCATGCCTTGATGGAAATGCCACGCACGCCCTGCTGCTCGCTACTCGCCTCATTCCTGATTCTACTGATTCGCACCCAGGTTACAGCGTCCGCCCTGGACTGTCTGCAGCTTTCGAATATATATTTACTATAGTAAGTAAGAGAAAAAGTAAAAAAAATTGTTCATCTGGTTCAAACTCAAGGGCAGCACAACTTCCTCATCGATTTTAAGAGACCTTACAGGTTTTTCTTTCACTGTGAATCCCTCCTTAGAATTCTTTTTGGTGGGAAGCCATGCACACCAAAAACATGTACTTGTGTTTACTAGGTACCTTGTCGTGACGTCAGGGCACGTCCTGCCGTTTGAGGAATATTTTGCAAAACACGATCCTCCTCGATATCTGGGTAGGGACTCCATTTTCACTCCTCATTCTACCTACCATATTCCTAAATTCCCCCATGTCCTTCTGTTTCGAACGTTCTTTCAAAAATTTCCAGTTTTTCAATAGAAAACTGTAGCCGAGTGAGCCAATAGGGGATTAAGGTTCAGCATGGTGTACGTGACACGAAAAAAAAACAAGAAAAGTCAACAAAAAATTCTAGGAGGCGGTTCAACCCCCCCCCCTTCCTTCCCTACAGCGACCAGGTACGCTCCACTCCGCACCGGGATCATCAACATATGTACGACGTGACCCGTGTTGTAAGCACGATCTAGTTTCAACGTTGGGGGGGGGAGAATGTCATTGGTTTCAGGAACGGATTCATGGCTCCCGAAGTTTTTTGGTGGAAAGCGAAACTCCTTTCTGAAGTTGTGCGGTAGCTAGATACTTCTGTGAGGTTGGCAATGTATGTCATGGCGATGTAATTCATACTCCGAGTGAGAGGCCGTGGCTCTCCTGGACTATTTCAACGAGAACAATACGTTTGGAATTTTTGATCGCACAGCAGTGTACCTGAACCTTCTGCTGGGAATTTAACTTGGATATCGGTTTTTGCTTGCTATCGATTAATCTCGTCTGTGTGTGCGCCGCGCATTCTATCCCACTTTGATTTGCAAGGGCTTCCGTAAGGTGACACTTCCACAAAATGGCTCGATTATGCGACATGGTGTGTACCAATCGCTTACTCAAACGGCAATTTCAAGTAGGACAGTGTCAGCTATGGTGCAAGTTCACTCGGCGAAATCAGGGAACTGTCCCCCTTGTGGTCATGACGAAGCACCTTCTGGAGGAAATTTGCCTTCACATAAAGGAGGGGCAGAAATTTGCATCATAATAGGAAGTGACCCATTATATTTAATAGAACTAATTGTGAATCATAGCGATATTCCCACAAACAGACAGCAGGCTTTTGTTTTGCTAAGAAAGGATAGCAACTTCCAGAAATCTACCCCTCAGTGACTCAACCCTGGAAATCCCATCACTGCTTCAGGCTGACGCAAATGCTGTAAGCTTCCTCGAGCTAGTCGACCATGATGGATAGCTTCATTTTTTTGCAAAGATCTGGTGAAGGGAGGAGATGCGCTATTAAAGCTTGTCTCCTCCTATACATGAAGGCCTCAGCCTTCTGTCCTCGTCACTCTATGCGTTGGTGGTGGGTGAAAGAGCTAGGAATAAATTTTACTCTCGCCCCATTTTCGTTCGGAATGTCTAATGCATCCGTTTGCCCTATCCAGAAATGGAATAAATTGAAATGACGAAATATGACATCACATGACTGATGTTACCCTGCCCTATTGCACTCATTAATTGGACGCCATCAAACCCAAAAACTGAACCTTATGACCTCACGATTCATCAGCGAAACAAAAAACCTCGTGGGACATAAAGAGGTGTTCCGATAATTTCTATGACAGGGAGTGCACCTCGGAAAATCATTAGCGAACCATCCCTGATATTGGCATTTTCGCTGTGGGTGGTCCGTCACTGGAACAATATTTGAAATTTTCAGCTTTTTGCGTCAGCGCAGATGCACATCCCTAGCGCTGACGCTAGCAAAGGTTGCCGAAAATCACGTGGAAAGCGGAGCAGAGGCGAACAGCTCCAAACCACAAACACGAACGGGTCAGGGTGATGTCTGAACATTTACCGAAGGATTGTTTTTCCAATGCGGCTAGATTTGTCAGAAGAGGATTTGTCTGGGATTTTAAGTTCGTTCTGCCAGACCGAAGGAAATCTGACATGTGCAAATCCGGGGCCGGCTGATAGGAAGGGGATGGCGAACAGAAGGCGCGCAATACTACAACCCTTCGAAGAGAAAGGGAGACAGACGATGAGTGTTGTTCAGACGCAGCGTTAGGTGATCCGGATATGTACGCGCCAAGTATGGGTCCCGCTTGGATTTATGGTCCAAGTGTGCAGCTTGCGTTTCTTCTCTGTCTTTTAGCCTTGAGTGAACAAATTGGAAAGTTCACTGGCGCCAGCTCGTGCGATGTCAGAGATGCGAGAGGGTCTTTTAAGAGATATTCTTAACTTTTTTATGCTGTTTTCTTCACTGACGTGCTACTTACTTCATGGTTCATATTTGAACCCCATAACCGCCAACTTGCCTTCGTACACTGCGTCTTTATTACTCTGAAGGGAAATTCAAAGAACGAAGACACGTGCACGACGGCAAAGATTCTGTGAAGAAACAGACTTACGACTGTTTTGAGCTACGTCCTGCCCACCCCCCCCCCCCCTTTCGGGTAATTGCGGTCGAGATCGATAGAACACGTAGACATGTGTGTTGTCTTGTTGTCTTTCTGTTTTGTTTTTTCAACTACTAGTGTAATGGATGCATTAACATTTTCCCCTTTTAGCCATGGATGGCAGCGCCCATACAAACACTTTTGGTTGGCTTTTTCTTGACATTTTCGACGCCTTTGTGCTGTGCGCTCTTCCCTCAAAAAACACCCATTTCGGTGAGTTTCTTTTTTGGTTACTTGTACCTTCATATTCTCCTGCTTTCCTAGAACAGTAGTCGCCATCATCATAAACTCTATCAAAAAACACTCAAAATGACGTTGCAAGAGGGGTGGCATCTCTGCATTCGCCCCAGGACCCAATCCAGTCAGCGGAGCAGTGTTGCGGAGCGCCGACTCTCTGCTTTTACTGCATCTTGAGCCCACAGGCTATCTCTATCTCTCTCTCTCTCTCTCTTTCTCTATGCCTGTGCTGAGTTAACGAGCGCAGACGAAAAAACAGAAGCGCCCTATCCGTATCCCCCACTCCACCCACTGCACCTCACTGCCTCGGAACCACCAACGACTATGTTCGACAATTCGCTGAGCCTCGCCCATCCCTGCTTGCACTTGTTGTTCGCCCAGTTTTTTTTAATTATGTGTTGATGTTCTATTCCAATTACCTATTAGTAATGTAGATATTCATGATAAAGTTCACACCCTCATGTGCAATTTCTAGGTGAAATCTCTTGAACCTGAACTACAGTTGAAAATTGCTGGCCTCAAAAACCCACCTGAAGTCGTCTACTACAACAAGGGTTTGTGATCGCGGTTGAGGTGTCGGCTGTCATTGTTTTAGCAGATCACTCACTTCCTGCATTATCAAGCATCCAGTGAACCTTTAGCTCATTAAATGTCTAGAATTAAAGGAATTTAATAAAAGAATTTCTTCTTCTGTGAATGTTGTCTTTGGGGCAATTGCCCTTGACATTACCATGCTTGCCTTTTTCATCTAAGTTACTGTATTATCGAACTTTTTGGGGAGTGTTATCTGTGAAGAAGCAAATCAAATAGCATATAACGCAATCACTAGAAGTGCTTTCTCGTGTCTGTATAGGTTATGTGGCTAGTTGGACATTTGTGCAAGGTCGTGTTTGGGAACTGTATGCAGCACGAAGACAGCGACTGCCAAAGTATTGAACGGTGCGAAAACATGGCGTGCGCCAAGAGATGGTTTATTCAAGGGAGGAGGCTTCGGATTTAATCTGCTTCCTATGCAAGAAAGGCTGAGGCGTAGCAGGCTGCTTTGACCACAAACGCCAGGGTTAAGCATTGTTGCAAATTCCGCCACATGAGGGTATGTGACCTGCAGTGAAAGGGGTTGTATGTGTGGGTGTTCATAATGATCAGAGTAGTGGCAGCCTTAGAACACCAGAAAAGTGGAACTGCTCGTGGCTTTGTGGCTAGTTGTGAGGCGCGGCGACTCCCGACGACTCCGTCGGTTGAAAATTCGTGAGCCAGATAGCATTCAGCCAAACAAAACTAAACATCGGAACGCAACAAATGTCACATGCATTAAACGACTAGGCAGCATATTCGCTGTTTAATCTGCCGAACGGGAAGCAAGTAGCCTCGCTAGACTGGTGCCGTGTCAACTACCACCATTGGTGGCTGAATAAGTTCGTCCACTAATGGTAGTGATCAAATGGTAATTTGGTGAGCTTGCCGCTGTCACTACCTCAGTAGAGCTATCACTAGGCGAACTATCTAACGCAGTGACAGTGAACGGCGCGCGTGGAAGTGCTGCAGGTCACTGTCACTGGTAGATAGTATAATGGCTAAGCAGTGGAGGGCCTGTGCCGTGCTAATGTCATTCGGTAGGTAAGGCTGCAGTTATACATTGGGCAAGCATAGGCTACGCTTCCAGCCATACGCCGAGCATTAGGTGTAGGGACCAGGGCACAGCATTGGTTGGGGATTCCCTATGGGGGGTCGTATTTGGCCGCCAAAAAGGGGGGTCGTATTTGGGCTGGGAAAAATTTATTTTTATAGTTGATTTTTCTCGCTCCTTGCGGACGTTTTGGAGGGGGGGGGTCGTAATTTGGTCGTTGTGGGGAGGGGGGGTCGTATTTCTGGCTAGGAATTATGTGGTTCACTTGATGGATTTTTATGAATTTACTGTGTTATAGCTACTATGTACGCCCGTACGATGTACGTCGCACTGCTTACTACATACCCCCCGCTCGACAACTTTTTCGCCGAGTATAAACCACAACCATAGTCAGCCATGTCAGCCATCGTAGGAGCCATGGGGGGGGGTCGTACCAGCCCCTGAAAAAAGGGGGGGTCGTAAGCTCGAACCAGAAATCCCCAATCGACATGCTTGTGCCCTGGTCGGGGAATTATTAGATATTGGATCTAGCGTTCCGCAGCGTCACCAGCGTACGCTAGCGTTCGCAGGCGCGGCGGCTCGAGGTAATAAGAAGAGTAGGAGAGTAGCAAAATAACTGCAACACAAAAATAAATACTATAGCGAACGCTCGTGAAACGCTGGAAGCGCTACGCTACGCTGCCGCAAAGTATAAACGCAGCCTAACAGTTATAGCCAAGAGGCTGTGTTGTATCACTCTCACTAATAAGTATTACAAAGACTGTTAGAGCGATACCCTGTGGATTCCCTTGGTAGGCAACATATAGCGTTGTTGGACTACATTGAAAAATGCGCTATAGCTGTGGAAGTGTGCCGCATTACTCCCATGAGTAAGAATCTCGCGAGATTGGTGGAGCGGTGTCTTGTCACTCATACTCCACTTGGTAGGCAACATACAGCTCCGTGAAACGCT